TAAATGCTTCTTTAAGGTAAGATCGCAGGGAACCCTTCTGACGTCTGATGTGATTGATTTCAAACTGAAGGCACAGCAGAGGAAGATGGGGCAGGTTCAAGTGCAAACTGCCTAATGGCTCCAAGCCACAGCGGTAATCACCTGACAAGATGACGAATCGCGGCATGTGACATCGGCAGGAAACAGAGAAACGGCGTCAGGGCTGCCCTCCGTGACAAGATGAGGGACCTTTCTTGCTCTGAGGCAGAGGAGGGATGACCAGGAAACAGAGAGGAGAGGGAGCTGCTGGTGCAGGTATGACTGGGACAGCGAGCGCCAGGTGATACCGTCAAAACATCTGGTCCCTGTGCCTGCAGTCCCCCTGCCCATCAAGAGCAGCACAAAATCATTCTGTGTCCTAAAATCCAGCAGAGAACTGTGGATAGATCAAGACAAGGGGGTCCCTATGGATTGGCAGGACCTGCTCATGGGTAGGAGGACCAGACAACAATCAGGAGGAACGGCATGTTACTGGTGCATCTGACACACCCTGAGGCATTACTGCTAACTTATAAAAGCCTAAGAAAAATGCCAGAAAAAGACAAGCTCAGTTTGCTCGGTCATTAAAATCCCTAATATTGACTAGGAGAAAGAAAACAGACTATTATCTCAGAAAGCGACGCAGACTTCATTAACAATGCTCTGCACGAAAAACACCCTTATGCATTGTGTTGGTTACTGAACAGGCTTTAGACCCGTCTGAATTGTTCTCAATGGACTTTTAGGGAGCTACCGTCGATCTGCCGTCAGAGCTGAAATGCAGCGTATAAAGAAACGGTCGGGCTGTACGGACACAAAATGGCCAGCGTGTCTGGGATTACAGGCAGGGGAATCCATCTCTGTCTCAGACTGCACATTCATCTCCGTGAAGAAGATAAATGATGCAATTACGAAGTGGATGGTGAACGTGCAACGTAGCGTGTGTAACACGCTGGCCAAGAGGTTAATTACCATGGCATAAAAAAACAACTGAAAAGTCCATATCAGAGGCAGGATCAGCAGGGTACGCCTCTGCCTATAACCAGGAGGTTGCTAGTTCGAATCCCATGGTCAGCAGAATACTCACACCAAACTAAGGCCCCTTGAGGAAGGCCCTTAACCCAGAAAAATGCTCCAGGGCCGTCAGATAAATGGCCAACCTTGCACACTGGCTCCAAGCTTCGCTGTCACCTGTATAATAGACACGGCCTGGACCAGAGTACACACAAATATCTGGGCTCCCTTTCCAAGCAGAGGGGAGGTCACAGCAGAGAGCATGATGGGAAAACAACACAGAGGAAACACCCCCATGTTGCGAAACCAGCGGCTGGTGACATTTTGAACTCCGCCGTCAATCATCCATCATTTATTTACCGACATCAAAGTCACGGTAGAGTCAGAAATACAGCAAAACGCAAATATTTATTATACTGTTGCGTCTGATTCTGCATCTGAAACCTGCTTTTACGGGAAGGTGCAAAAGTAAATATGTATTCTAGAATAGAATGGTGATGCTTTATTCATCTGGGGACAGTGTCTCTTTGGCCACTCCATCCTTCCGTCACCCTTCACGCTTTCAGCGCCGTCCCAAGCGCCCGCCTGCGATAGCCGCTGCTGTGTGTTTGCTTGTTTTCTCTGTTTTTTAACGTATCCTAAGTTTGTGTTTTTCTTTGTCACTTCTTTTTCTTTTTCCTGTTGTATGCACCAGAAGTTCCCCCTGGGATCAATAAAATACATCTTAATCTTAATCTTGCTCCCGGTGAGACAAACAGGTACGAGCGAGCTTGGAGGTCACAGCGCAGGGTCAGACAGCGTCTAGTGGCCTGAAGTGCTTTCGGGGGTTTGAACGATAGCTCACCAGTACAGACATATTCACACATCTTCGCTCTGAAGGACACAATTCTCCCTGATGGACTCAGTGGAAATCCAGGTCTAACTGCTAATCCAAACGGGGACTTTATGTCCCCAAATCTAGTCATTCATTCCTACAGATTTCACAGCACAGAAATGAACATGGCTTCCATCTGACACTGAAGGTACAATACACACAGGTTTGTAATTATATCTTCGTGGGGACTCTCCATTAATTTCTATGGGGAAAACACTAATTCCAACATGACATCCTTAACCCCTACCCAGCCCTAATCTTAGCCATAAGTAACCAAGCAAAATACATTTTTAGTTTTCTGATTGCATTCACAGATCTTTGTGCGGATCTGAAAAATGGTCCCCATAATGTCAATATAACACGTTTTTATTACATTACATTTGGTACACACAAACACAGACACACACACACATTTGTATTCATATCTTTGTGGGGACCGTCCATTCATTTCTATGGGGAAAACCCTAATCCCAGCAATGACAACCTTAACTCCTACCCAGCCCTAACCTTAACCATAAGTAATCAAAAACAAAATACAAGACTTTTGGCATTTATAGTTTTATGATTGCAGTCACAGATTATTAGGAAATTGAGATTCCCCTCGTAGAGACAGGTGGTCCCCACAAGGTCAAAATAACATAGATTTTGACCAAAATAACTCAGTCTCCTTTTAATATCAGAACTTTCATTTATGTTTCTGAGAATGTTTTGTCGCGTTAAACAATCACCATTTCTCTCCTTTGGGTTTGATCTGGATGTCACACGAAACAAAACAACGAAAAGACCCTCCCGAGGAATGCAAAAACGTATCTGTGTATTGATTCTCACCAGCAAGGCCAGACACCGAAGAGGAAATGTGTCGGTACTCTCGAGTGTTTTGACACCCCAGCGCTCAGGTAAGCACAGGAAGTTTCTAGTTATGAGCTTTGTTCGTTGTCCCACGGGACCCTGGCTAACAATGGTGCTGTTTTCTTTAGCTGGATGAGAGCTGTGCTGGTCCTGATTGTGCTGAACTGAGTAGCCCCTGTATCTCTGCAAGATCACATAATGGCAAGAAAAGGAAAGGTCGTGTCCTCCAGATTATACTGTGGTGTTTTGAGTTTGGGAGGCGACTCTTGACAACGGACACACACGCCCTGTACAACACAGCAACAAACACAGGGGAACACATGAAGTCACACTCGCAGCCTACAGCATACAGATACACACACAGACAGATTGTTCGCTAAAATGTCACCTCCCAGAATGCACTGGGGCTGACTGAATCTAAGAAATGTATATTGAAATGGTCAGGCGAAGCTAGGAATTCGAAACAGAACAAATAAGAGGTATCTTGTTTGTATTTTGACAGGTCCATCTCACATGACAGCCCGTCATGTGGGACGTTGTGACGTAGCGCATCCTGAGTGACCTCCCCACACTCCCTCCCCCAGTGAGTCCCAGAGCCAAGTCCCAGTGGCCAGTGCAAGCAACGTTCCTCGCAGGGGACGTGTCCGGCTTCCGGACGAAGGCTCTCACCCTCACGTTACAGCCATTACACCCAGTGCAAGTGGGCTCGCCACACCCGCTGTTTCCGTGGCAGTGTGACAGAGAAGACTCCATCCCCAAGAACCAGAGTTCTTGTCAAATTAAGACCCTCTCCCTTTTAAATGAATTTCAAACATGTTTCAGAAAATTATTTTTAAATTCCGTGACCCATAAAATATAGGAGTGCTTGATGTAAGCTGGTATTTTTGGGACATTTTAAAAAGTTAATTTTACAGGATATTGATGATGGCCGTGAGGGGGGGGGGGTCTCTAATTGGGGATATCAGTCCCCTCTGCATTCCCGACGCCCCAACCCAAGGGCCGGACTGGCACGTTTCACGCACCTTCAGCTCTCGATTTTGACGTGAGACCAGCCATAAGAGAAACTCAGTTTAAAGCAGGGCGGCTAATCGGATCTAATCTGACATGTGACGCCATCAGACACCTGCCCAGGTGGGGGGGCGGACAAAGGATGTCATTTGAAAGTAACCCTCGAAAGCGGCACCACGCGCAAGCGGGAGACGGTGACATAATCAAAACAAACGGCTTATTAAGAAGCAGAATAACGATCGTGAGACGGGAGATCTGACGCAGGCACACAGACAGCGGGCGAGCCGCCATCCTCCGCCCGCGAGGCGGACCATCAACAGCCCTTACAGAGGCTGTGCCTCAGCTGACCTGGGATCAGTATGGTCAATACCCAAAACACACATGGAGTAACCTCACGTAATACTTATCACCACACACGACTGGATGTGGATTCACACAGTCGCATGACAAGACAGTCATCATTGCCACAAAACACAGTCTGGATGCATGCCAATATAATAACAGAAAATAGGGAATTGAACCCACAACCACAGAGACGTGAGGCTACAATGCCAATCATTAAGTCACTGCTCCACCTGCCTTTGAACTGGATTGTAATAGTTTGAAACACCTGACTGGAATATTTGCAGCAGTTTTACCCTGAGTAAATTATTTTCGTAATTCTTTATGCCACCATGTGATTTTTGTTATATATTTTATTATATTAATCTTAATAATCTTATCATATGATGCATAACAATGCAATTAATAGATATAATGTATCATCACGCTACAGGCATGCATGATAAATTATCTTATTATTTTTTTCCCAGGCGTCTGCCAAACAGGGTGCCCTGTGTTCATTTCCGTACCAACAACCCCATAGCAGAGGAAATTGTCTTCAGGCCCATGCAGAGAAAATAAAAAATATACACAAACACACATATACACACTCAACGTAAAAGTTTTACATACCCCTAATATCATTCTCATACCAGCAAGTGATCCCACGCCCATAACAAATTAGCACATTCGTTTGCATTAATGCATGCATTTGCATCGGCGCATTTTAAAATTCACGGCCCGGTCGATCTGCTTTTTAGAGGAGTTTCCATAATCTCTCTACTGAACTGAACTTTATTAGAAAGCATAAGCACACCTGTTCATCTCCCGCTGTGCAAACGGGAGGCAACCTGTAACTATTTGGGGTGACATTGAAAGGTCTGCACCAAGTCATGCTTAGATGTAAAAAGCGTACCTGCTGTTCGTCCTTTTCGCTCCGGTACTCGCCCGGACGGGGCTCGGCCGCCGGCCACAGACGGCTGCTGGAGCAGTATGGAGAGCTGCTCCTCCGGCTGCTGGCTGGAGATCCGTCACTCTCCAGCGGGTGGCCGGGGGAGTCCACGGCGGCTCGGCGCTGCGAATCAGGCGTCCGTTGGGTTGCGACCACCTCGGTGAGCCTCTCGCGGTCACGGTGCTCAGATCGCCGGTCCCGGTTGCTGGGCAGGCTGCTCCCTACAAGTCGCTGCTGCTGAGCTTGCAGGAGCGGCTGTGGATGCTGTTGCAGGTCCTGAGACTGAGACGGACGAGGCTCCCCTGTGTTTATACCGAAAGCCTGGCGTGCCTCCTGTGAGGAAGGGTCGTTACGGTGCGCTTTGAGATGCCGATTCTCCTGACGTGCCCAACCACGCTGCTGCTGTCGCTCTTGCTGCCCCACGCCTCCTCTGCTGTCACAGGTGCCGGGGTGCCGATCGCAGTTCCAGAACTGGTTTTCACAGACGGACGCCGGCGACAGCGGCTGGGGGCTCTGCTCCCAGGAAGAATCGCCTTGGCACTTCTGAGCGGAGACTTCGGCTGTGGCCCCGAGACTCTGGCGCAGGTGTGGGCGCTGATCAGAGAGAAAGCAGCCTCTGCTGGCAATCGACGGGAGGCTGCCTGTCTGGGTGGAGGAACTGGGGCTCGGCGGCTCCCGGTGACTCTGAGGATAGAGTGAGGGGTTCCGCTGCCTGATCGGCAAAGGGGGAGGCGGTAAATTGTACAACGATGAGGCTGGACTCGCCGCTCCCTTCTGGGGATGCGCTAAGGTGCCAAGGTGTTGCTCCGGAATGGTGGTTTGCTGGTGGGACACTGCTCCGGGGTAGCGATGGCGCATCCCCCCAGAAGCGGCGCTCCGTTGTTGCTTCTCCCCAGTGCTGGGACGCTTGGGCACCCTGTCATTGCGGGGTGACCCAGTCGAATCGAGCCGGCCCGTTTCATTGGTGGGCTTTACAAGGACCAGCCTCATAACGTCACTGCACGCCGCCTTCTCATGCAAACGGGTCCGCCCGGATCCCCCTCGCCAGGACGGAGCCCCGTTAAGAAGAACTAGGAAACCCAGGCGACTAGTTAAGGAATGCTGGTCCGTAAGAAACGACTGAGGTCTAGTAAACTCTCTGGTTGAATGAGCAAAACCAGCCTGAAGTCCAGATTCCAACCATTATTCAACGACTGGTGATTAGTTCTGTTAATAAATGATTATTGTGGAACGGTGGTCCATCTATTCACAAAATAACACAAATAAAACACCAAAATAGCCTAATGGATCAATCACAGCCTTGCGTTTTTAGGGAAATGTATAATTAAGGTTACGCATTGATTTGTCACAAATTAAGAATGGGTCAGATTTCATAAAAATATATTTGTATCATTTGTACACACGCATATTCTGAATTCCGCACACAAGAACTGGGTTCAAGAGGAAAGTTTAAGGCGTTTCCGGCAGTGTGAGGCATTAGGCTGGTTTCACTAAAAAGAGTCGCATTGCAACTGGCCACGCCATCGTCCAACAAGTCCTGTAAAAAAGAAATGATCAGCCTGTAAGTGATGGGGGTAAGGGGAAACCCGGCCGAATGAAAGTGAACAGGAAATAAATATGATGAGTGTTATGCTCCAAAAATCGACAAGAGATACCACCCAGAAAAGTGCCTTCAATAAATACCTAATCTTCGTCTAAATATTTCACTACATCTAAACATTTTGTAGAAAGACAGGCGTTTTTTGTTCTTCACAGCACGAGAAACGAAACACGAAACCTTATCATGAAGAATTAGGTTATTTAAAAAAAAAAAAAAAAAAAGACTCACACGGAGGAAACTGGGTGTGACTATTTTAGAATTTAATCTATTTTTCATCTCAGCTTGACGAATTAATTCAGATATGACAAATAAACGGTGGCAGCAAAGAGGAGATGGGGGAGGGGGGGCACTGAGGGTGAGGAGGGGAATGGGGCTTCCCGTGGTCCTGATGAAAGTGCGACAAGGACAGAAATAGACAGAATTGACACGTAAACGAGAACAGCTTTCAAAGTGTGTTGGGGGAGGGAGAGGAGGATTATCGTCGAGTTGGTGTATAAACGGCAATAAAACAGGAGAGGGTTTCTCTGTGACCTTAGAGCTGTCAGGGACTGGGACTGACTCGACTGCAAGGAGGAACAAAACAAAATGCCCCGATAAAGTTGTGTCCTTGGCGTCTGGGGATGCATCCCTACGGTTAACGTTTGAAATATATTCCACAAGAAAATGACATAATGCAAACCCAGTTAGACTAAATTCCACTGTTCTCGCATAAGCGCACGAACGTTTTCTTATATGGGATATTTGTTTCTAGACTATTTGAGGAGGACTGTAGTGTAAATCTGTCCACAGCTGTCCTACAGTTTGTGCCAATGATTTTGTTCATTAATCCTTTGATTGTCAATCGCAATTCTGAGTATACTCTTAATAAATTTGATTCTGCAAATGTTTACAAAAAGAAAACGTGTGAAAGTGTTTCTATCTAGACCATGGGAAACTGCTGGTTGAACTTCACCCAGAGAGTCCTGTAAATACCAGTTACTCGTCAACTAAGCAATGGTATCTCGTATTAATAAGTTATTGATGTAGACATGAACATCATCTGTTCAACCTGCCACTAGTCACAACATCAATGAAAACATTAGAGATGGCAGAGAATTTAAGCTCATGTTGAACTCCGATTAAATATGCCCTACGATGTAAACTAGTTTAGACCCCCGGTGTTATTTGCGCTCAGAGCAGGAAAAAAGTCTGCTGTGGACCATGCCGTCAAGCAGTAATCCCGAGATCTGTCTAAATAAACAAATACATGTTTGCAAGGGATCACACAACGTGCAAACCAAGCAAACTTTCCCGTAAATGTATATTATTAATTGTATCTTAACGTTAATGCTTCAAGGAATAAGTCTATGTCCCTCTTGAAGGGGTAGGCCTATTTCATAAGCAGTAGCCATCGCGGCCCACTTGGAAGAATAGGTTGAAGTTATTAAACAAAAAGACGAAATGATCACTCTTGCCGTGTTAATATTGATTCCTTAAAGCCAAACCGAACGGAATGCAAATTTCAAGAGAATGGTAACCAAGCAGTTTTTAACCTGTGGAGTGTAGACTGAGGAAGGCGATGGGAAGCTATGAGGGAGGGCACTGCCAAGAGATAGAGGGATGAAGCAGCATGCAGGCGGAGGTGAAAAGAGGGATCAGATGAAGAAACAGCGGAGGGTGGAACACTGTGAAACTGAAGCTCACGCACGTGGTGAGCAGGAGCGCCAGCGGCCCGGCTGCCATCAGCGGCTTCCCAGCACGGGAAACGCGAAACCGCTTATCGAGCCCTGCCTGAACCATCTCGCATCTGTAACATAACAGGTGGTGATGAAACAGACCATTAATAACATGGCTACCAACCCGGAGGGTAACCCCAAGTCGGCACTGAAATTCAGAACCACGACTGCGTGCCGCTTTTTAACGCTTCTATGAAAACACTGTAGCCTACATGGATCTAAGAGATTTTAAAGAAAAGAGTGGCTAAATTAAGTCGGAAAGCAGCTGCGATGAGCAGCAGAGAAACGAGTCCTTGTCTGCGGCTGAAAAAATAAGCAGCTCATCTAACTATTCATAGGAGGCTCGGGGAGCTCGGGGGTCTGACGGATCCTCCTGTCATAAGCAGATGACTTTCCCTCGTCAGCAGGGGGGAAACTGGCCGTAGACACATTCCGTCCTTCAGTGCAGCACAGCTGTACCGAAACCAAAGCTGCGGGATCGCTGTCAGACTGGGGTTTCACCGTGAAACAGACTGATGGATTAGAATCAGTCCTGGAACGTTTAAATGATCTGGCCTGAAATTCATATTACGGCTGATAAATTCACTAAACAAAGCATTCTGTACAAAAGGGAATTTTATAGTAGAAATTATGCAACCTGTGGGCATATCTTTGCACAATATTTATATTTTATCACACCATAGTCTCTATAGCTGATCATGGTTGTATCCGTCTGAATCAGGATTTATTTTTAAATAAAATAAATGCAATGCAAAAGTTAAGCTGTAACCTCGATAAGCAGAAACCCAGCAAGCAAACGTGATGAAGACGAGCACAAAGTCAACAGCCATTGGCAGCCCGCATTGGGTGACTCAGGCTTGGCGGGAGACACAGCCCGCTTCCGCACCACCCCACGGGGAAGCAGTGCCAAGCCGAGGGGTTTGGGAAATCCACCGGTCGCTGCATATGACCGGCACAGCGGTACATCAGCAGAGACCAGAGCAGAGACTGGTAGAAGGCCATGGCTTGCTTCAGAGTCAGAGAAAAGCGATGGGTCCCCATGAGAAAGAGTCCATTTAGCCCTTCATGCGTAAAAGCAGCACTGGGAACCCAACATAAATAAAACAAAATGAGGCGGGGAGTAGAACTATACGGCAGAGTAAGCTAAGTGGCTTTTCCCCTTCCCAGCAAATATTCTCATCAATCAGAGCAGAATCTTTATTGTCACGTGACCAAGGCTGCTGGAAATTCTCCTTGGCACAGCTTGCTAACGTTTGAAGATATAGAAACATAACTACGTGTGGCAAGGTACGTTCATTACCTTGCCGCACGGGGAAGCAGATACGTTCATTTCCAGGGACCGAAGCTGTCAAGGCTTCTCTAAGGACCTGAGACGTGCCCCCCACCCTCAGACCCCTGTCGGAGAGCACTGATACAGTTTAACGCACTTTACTCGCCTGTTTAAGCTATTATTACAAAGGCGTATGACACTGTTGTGTGGCACCCATAAACGGAGTTGGACCGTTAGTCCCTAGGCTAAGAAAAAAGACTGACTTACCCTGTCTAGTACCCGTGGCGCATTTCTTCCTACAAGACTGCAGCTTGGAGGTGATCTCTACATGGGCTTGGAGGAATGTCTGTGTGCGTGTGTATAGGGTGGGGAGCTGCAGAAAGGCTTCCTGAGTGTGTACGCAGACAGAAAACAGTCACCATTCCCCTCGCCAGAGACTGGACTGGGCTCCTTTGAGAGGGTTAATTAGGATTCAGGCAGAAAAAGCTGCGCTGAGCTTCTGAAGGGTTGACATGCAAATAAAAGATGCAAAATGTAACACAGGGGGGGGGGGGGGCGGATGTTACGAGACAGACTGTTCGGGCAGAGCAACCAACGTCCATAAAGCAGCATCACATGCATAGAAGTGTGTGTCTATATTAGCTACATGGCGCAGGATTTGCTCTTAAAGCGTCCCGTGAAATACATTTAAAAGATGCGACATGTTAAGTTTTAGCACTCGATACGTGCGAGTTCAAAGGCACCTGCGGAGCCTCTTATCTGCTGCGACCAGAGGGCCAGGCATCCCAAACAGGAAGCGATGGTTAGAAATGGCAGACCACAGAAAGAAGAAGCTGGGCCGAGGGCAACTTACATTTACTCTTACATGTACATTTACCTTCAACCCTCATTTAAAACGCGTTATTGCTTTGAGTATGTAACCGTAAAATACATCACTGTTATAATATTTAAGTATGAGAAAGAAAGCCAATAAAAGGTTTTTCTATATCCTCATCGCTGAAGTTAGATTTAGACTTTGCCCCACAGTGATTTCACACATAGGCACGTGGAGGGTCTGCACCCTGACACGAGCTGCAGCCCCTATTTTTCTCCAAATCAGCCAGTCGCCGTGATTCTGACACCGAAAAGCTGCTTGCGCAACGAATACTGCCGCTAAACACACACTGCGCATTTGGCACAAATGACGCCTCATCGGAGGTGCAGTTTTCAATAAAAAAAAGTCTTCATTTTTCTTTATTCTATAAGCATAATACATATTCCTGATTTCGCAATACTTATTATATATCTCAGTGCAAATATGTAGGTGAATATCACTAGAATAGAACGGCTGTTAAGCAAAAATAAATAATTTATAAACGGTTGTAGTGTATATATTTTAAATATAAAGAATGTTCTCGGTTTCTCAACACCCAAGTTTACAAAGAAGCACCGCTATTTTGCTGCAGAAAATAGTATCGATTTTAATTTCGACAGTAAGAGATAACAGACGGGCGAACAGGAGCTCGTCTCCGGAGCGGCGTGACCTTGCCATGTTCTCCGGCTCCGCTGATGCGGGGATTCCGCGGCTATTTTTAGCCCCCCGCTCACGAACAAGCAGCGGGGAGGTTTTTCCCAGATAGCTTTTCGTTAGATAGCATCCACGAAAGCCAGCCAGGCTGACATAAAACAGGCGAGGAAAAAGCCGGAGAGATCGCATTTATTCGAAACACCAGGCCCGCCACCAGATAGTGTACATAACTGTGAAAATGCAGAAAAACAAGATGATGTAATGAAGTTATACCTAACGTGAACATCTTGCTTAAAAATTTTAACGACAGAAGGCGAAATCAGGACGCTGGTCTATATAATGCCAGACGGGTTTAATACAATGTTCAGCACCGCGGCACAGATCAAGATTAATAAAAAGGGAAACCGAGGGTTATTAGGCTACTTGAAGGGCATTATTTAATAGCAGCAATTTTCCGGGGGTTTTGGGTTCTGTCGGAACCATTTTGATTACAATTTTAACGTTCCCCCTTCAGCAGTTCCTATATAGAAGCCCCGTAAGTAAACACTCATATGTCATATACAACACATAATTTATTGTTAGTTAGGCTAATGAATGCGGTGTTCCATACAATCAAGGGTACAAGAATATTAGAATCGTTTAATTGGTATCAAGGTGTTACTACCACGATGAATGACAGCCGTGCTTCTCCTGGCTCTCCTGCTCAGTAGTTTCCAAAATGCGTTACATCACATCGGCGATTGCAAATTTTGCATGATGAATAAAGAACAGAGAACGCGTTTGGCAACCAGGTCTATTTCATTTTCAAAGGGAAAATCCAATGGCGATGGAGGGCCGGTCGCACACAATGTGTGCTGTCATCTGCAGCAGGGAAAGCCCTTTCCAGAAGGACGACACAGCAGCCCCTGTATTCTCTTAGTCACCCCTCCCCCACGCCCCAACTACAGCTCGGGTATTCCCCCCCCCCCCCCCCCCCCCCCACCATGCCTGGGGTTTTTTCCCCGCCCCCCCCCCCCCCCCAGAGGCCGATAAAATGCAAAGCACAATAAAACGTGCAAATTCCTCAAGTGCCATATATGCTGGGATCAGGGCGCCTTGAACACGCTCGGGCCGTGAGGTTCGTACACACACAGTCTCTGATATATACCAACCTGTAAACGTACAACAAAAAAAATGGGTTTATGGAACACGACCTATAATTAGGCCAAAACTATTTTAACTGATTACTAATTTTATACGTCTGGTAACACCAGCTGGTGGTTCGCGCTTACGCAGACTTAAAGTGATCAACCCGTGGCGAATACTCACCAAGTCAACCGTGTTATACCCACCCCCCAACTAGAAAAGAGGGGTTTTCTAGGTGTGTAACAGCCTCATGAATAATTCATGATCGTGGTGCCCTATTGCGTCAGTCGCATAGCAACCACATCTCAGCATCCCAGACGAGATATGCGTTTGTCTTTAGTGTCAAATCCACGCAAGGATATCACGGCTGCCGTTGTGTTTAAGTACCAGTCGGCGATACGCATCTAAGTTTGGGGGGGGGGGGGTTAGGGGGGTTGATATATGTGCTAACCAGGGCTGGCACACAGGGACAAGGGAGATCATTCGTTATGGAAAATCTTATATATTAAAAAAAGCTTCTTTATTTAAAATAAACGTGATATAAATGCAAGTTAGTAGGTTAAATTACAAAAATCCACAAAGAAGCAAAAGTACAAGTCGATCTACAAGATGGCGTCTTTGGATCCGGGAGAGGCAGGTAACTCTCAAAAAATGTATTTTCTTCAACTACGGGCACAAAATGCATATGAAATTGAATAAAACAAAACAGATAAGGCCTCTAACTAGTAGTGTAAGATGAGAACCAGTCATTTACAGACTAATCCGTAAAACAGCACGGCCGGTAAAGGGAGAGTTCAGAGGTGCCCTCTAGTGGAGCCTGTCAGCATATTCACATCCCACACTGGCGCGTTCTATACGCAAAGCGGTCTTGCACAGGCTCCACCTTACGCGTTAATATGACACATTTCAACCGCGACGGTGAGAATCATGCAAATTGTGCATTTTATGTGCATTAGCACATAAAAATAAAGGACAATCAAGTCGAAAATTCACATCGCTCTTTTTGAATCCTGCATTCAATTCCTTTAACAGCGACACCTAGTGGAAACAAAAACTCTTGAGAAGAGGACCCAAGACCCCTAATTAGCACCAGAGCCCGCCACACAGGTGACCCCCCTTACAGTTATGTGCTAGATTTTCCCCCTCAAAACCATTCTCACCTGAGAAGAGGTTTGTGAGAAGATGACAGTCACTCAAATGGACAGCAAGGAGAAGACAAGGGCTAATCACACGTGGATATCCAAATAAACACTTTAATTACAGACTCATTATAAATCACATAACAGCGCAAGAACACAGCTGAAGTTTCAAGGTCTCTAAAGCAATCATCATGCCACCAAGTCCTTAGCTTTTAATTCACATACTCAAGTCATTATATTTACATACACAAACTAGTTCTTCATAAATACCGCTTTTGTCCAATATGCTGTCAAACACAGACAATAGTAGCAGAACCCACATCTCCTGTACAGAAAATAATATTTACAACTCCGAAAAGTTTTACTCGAATAATGTTTCTAAAAACATTCAGAACATCTGAAACAATAAAAAAAAAGAAGAGATTTACAAGAATGTACTTAAATAAAACAGAAGTGCCCTTGTCTTTTTGAATCAGGAGTGTGAACGGCAGGGACCCCTTCATCGGGCGGAGCGCCCCCTTGTGAGAGTCACTAGCGACGGAACCACACCCAGCCGTTAACGAGCCAGAACGCCACGGTGATGGAGTAGATGACCATCTCCCGCTTTGCCCGCTCCTTGTTCTCCTCCTCCAGAAGCTGGAGCCTCCGGTTCAGCTTGACGATCTGCACGACCGGCCGTCAATTAAAGCAAGACCTAACCTTCGATCATGGCGGCGGCAATGGGCTCTACAATATGCCCAGACCAGACAAAAATGTGCATAGAGCTCCCTCTAGAGCAAGTTTCCTGTAACTGCACTCTGCCGCCATCAGAATGTGAGAGAGCTTGGCTTTAGGTGAAGACATGCTTGAGGGCGCTCACCTGTCGCCGTAGCGTCGTAGCATCGGCCAAGGCCAGGTCATCGGGGGTACCTTCAGAGATGGCGTCAGCGGTAGAGGTGCCGGTCCTGGGGACAGCAGAATGGGCAAGATGGTATGTGACCCAAACCAACGTCAGCACAGGAAGGAGGCCCAGGAAGCCATGCTTAGGAAGCAGCACAGACGGAGAGGCGTTGAGGAGCAGGACAGGCTGAAAATGACACTGTCAGATCTTATACGGCCCGGTTCCGGTTCCACAGCCCATCCGCTTCAATCAGAGACACAGAGCAAGGCCGAATTTAAAGAATACCTGCATCCATTTTTACCTCGATTGTCAACTAGTAACCAAAACGAAGAGATACAAAGGAAGCCGACGCCGTCGGCGAATCGGGCGGCACACACACGGCAAGTGCATGGACACGCCAGCAGGGGGCGCACTGCAAGCAGGGCATGCGGGTCACAGAGGGAGCAGGACCGGAGCAGCGGTCACCTGCGGTGGCGGCTCTCATCCAGCGCATCCAGGAGCTGCTGGAAAGCGCGTCGCGTGGCAGACTGGATGAAGGACAGCACCCCGCGGGCGCTGTTCAGGCGGGGGCCGTCCTCGGGTGTGACGAGGGGGGGACAGATGCGGAGGGGGGCTTGAGGGGACGGGGTCACACTGCTGCTTAGGGAAAGGTGACGCAAAAAGATATAGAGAGATAGACAGAGAGAGAGAGAAAGAGAGAGAGAGAGAGAGAGAGA